TTCAGCTCCTCCTCCTCCTCCGTAGATCCGTTTTCCTCTATTTTTCGAAATGCGCGCCATCTGGGGGGTTCAAGTCAATATTTGGGTCCTTTAAAAGCCCAGCCTTTAAATGGACTCAAACTTGAAGAATATTCTCTGCCTGAAATCTACGGTAATTCCGACCCATTTTTACCGTAAAGTTCGTATTTAAAAAGTGTTCTATTTTCTCGGAGATCCAAAAATTTCTTTAGAGCAGGAATTATGACATTAAATTCTTGGGTTATCAACCGGTTACGCCATCAGATTTTTGTCGTTTTTGCATGAAATGGTTCGCATTCAATTACGCCATAAAATTCGATGTTTCAATTTGATTTTTTTTGTTTTTTTTTTAAACATCGAATCCCAACAAAAATCCGCAAATTTCCAGGCAGATACGCCCCGCTACTATTGACACCTTTGCTCTGATATTTGAACATTGCTGAAAAATGTATCCGCCATCCGACCAGGACACCAAACACACCGAGGTATCCATTATATCATATTAATGGCGTAATCGATTTTGGAAATCCGTTAAAAATTTAAAAATTTAAAAAGGTTTTGCAGATTGTCGGTTCGGATTTCCTGTCGAAAGGCACCGCGGTAGCTGTCGTCGTCCCTTTAATGGCAATGTTGGCACTACTGACACTTGGTAGGCGGAGAGAGAGAGAGAGAGAGAGAGAGAGAGATAGAGATAGTCTGATCTCTGGCCTTTCCCCTCTCTTGCCTCGAATACTAGACAATGCTGCTCCCCCGGGTTTTCCCCTCATTTCCGGTCGATCTGGCCGCCCAAAAATGGCTGCAAATGCGAACAATGGCCTCTTGGAAGCGTAGCGGCGGCTAAACTATGACCTACCTACCGTACCCCAAGACGGGGCGGAGGTAGAAACCCAAAAGAAAAGCACTTGAAACTACATCACCAACATTTCTACCAAAAAGCAAAAAGTTTGGCCGCGGCTGGGGGTCGAACCCGGGTCTTGTGCTCGGGAGACGAGAGCTTTACCAATTAGCCAACCTTTCGCTCATTGTCATTTGTATTTTTAGCCGATTTTTTCGAGTTTTTTACACGTTTTCCGGATGGGCAGAAATGCTAGAATTGTTGGGTAGTGGATAAGATTGGATGCCTATCTATTGAGGGCGGATTATCCGGTGGGCCAAATCCGAGGGGAAGCCAGAAATAAAACAATTTTCCTGGCCATCCTATTCCCATTTTTTGGGCAGATCGAGATTGTGCGCGGGGTGGAAAGGCCAAATGTTGGATGCCATGTTGCGTCAATAGGAAAGAAATAAAGAAAAGACGACATTTTGCAGCCACAAAACAATGGATTATACGATCTGAAAAAGGGAAATTGTCTCGAAATTGACGCGCGAAAGGTCGGCGCAAGCGGATTGGGTTTTTTTTGGTCCTCCAGAAAGTCATCGGGTTCACCGGGATCAGTCTATTTTGGCCGACAAAGCCTGACGCACCGCCTCACCGAAACGCATGCCCCAGAATTTCATTGCGTAATCGGTTTTCGTCCGCACGTTGCGAGCTAATGGCCGAAAATTCTTAGGAAAATGTAAAAACCACGTGAATACGTGCGAAAAACCGTTTTAAAACGCGTAACAGAGCTTGCCGTGCCGCGACACGCAGCGCCCGCCCCGACTTTTCCATTGCGTAACGGGTTTTCTAAGCCGCATCGCGCGTCACAGCGGCCCGGCTCCTAAGAAAACGTCCGGTAGCTTTGGAAAGGAAAGAAGACCGCAACGCCTGCGATAGACGCGTCGCGCAATTGCGAAAGCAGGCCTGCGCAGCTAAAACCGGTTGCTATTCCGCGCACCCGCACGCAACGCGCGAAAAACACGCACAGTACGCCCTTTCCCTTGAACCATCTGGACCGAACCCATGGGGGGGTTGTGGCGTCACGGTTGGGGCTAAAACCAAAAAAACACTAGGAAAATGACAAAATTTCGTGAAAAGTTCGAACAACCGCTCTTAAAACACGAAAAAGAGCGTTTGTAACATTTTAAAAACATTTTAACACGGTTAAGGACAGCTCACCGCACCGCTCCGCGCAACGCGAGCTAATTTCAATTGCGTAATCGGCTATCCACGCGTGCTATGGCTTGTTTGACAAGGGAGAAAACGTCCAAAAAATGCGCTAAACCTTTGAAAACCGACTCTATCCTCCAGTTCTCTTTAGTATCGATAAAACAACAGAGAAAATACCATATAATACATAACAAAATCCATTAAAATATTTAAATTTTACAGCCCTTGCCGCGATTCACATTTGCCGGCGGATTTGCGCGCGGTTGGAGCGGAATGACGATGACTGCACCACGGTACTTGAGGATGTAAGAATTTTATACCTTTATTATACTTTATATTAATTGATTTTAATTCGATTTAGACCTCTAGGCAAAAATAAAAACTTAAAAAAGACATCCAATATTTCAGCCGCCAATCGCTCGCCCAATCACCCCATCCGCCGAGAGTTTTCGCCGCAATTCCGCCCAGGTATGCAATGGAAAAGCGTACCATAAATGTCAAAAAAAATGGGATTTTAGGGTCTAAAAGTCTCAGTGAATCAATTTAGCCGCCAAAAACGAAAAATATTTGAAAACCGAGCGATTTTTGGGCGAAAATACGATTTTTAGCGACTGGAGGAATTAGAATCAGCAAATTCTGCGATTTTTCGGATTTTTGTGATTTTGGGGTCAATTTTAACAATTAAAATTGCTGGAATATGTAAAATTACCTGGAGATTCCAGATTTGACCCTGAAATTGGCAAAGTCCCTCCTTTTCACGCTTTCACGCCTCCAGAACGTCTCGGTTGCGCGGGCGTGGCTGTGTGCCAAGAACCCATGTTTTAAATAAAATTTAAATAATTTAATAACATGTAGATAAAAAATAAAAACAAATTAAATTATGCAAAAATAATGTATCGATTTGAATTAATAAAAACCAGGGAAGCCGCTTCGCGACTTTTCAACCCTGCGTCTGGGCCAAATGAGATTGTAAATTTTGCATAATTCCGCCTCAATCATTATAATTCAAAATTATAATTCATAAATACACAACATAATTCAAAAGTCAAATTTCTGGGGGGGGGGCAGCGCTGAATCCCCGCGTAGCGGGGGGTCAGCGCTGGTGAGATTGTAAATTTTGCATAATTCCGCCTCAATCAACTGAGAAAAATGAAAACTCTCGTGCCAGCCCTTTATATAGGCGTTTTCTACTTCCGGCATATGCTAATTCGTTCCTAACAAAGAGGTTGGTCGAAAACTTAACAAAAACCCTAATTTTAATGTCGAAAATAGCTTATTTTTATGATTCTAATAGGTGTGCAGTCATCTCAGGGCCATTACGCACCTAATGACGTATCATACACGCCCTAAAACCCGGTCGTTATTGAGTTATCCTCCGGACATACTGACGGAAGTGTATGCAAAGTGTCACACACACACATACACTATTTTTTTATATATAGTAGGATCAACGTCGTCTTTTTTTGCAGGCACAATACCGAGTGCTGATCCAGTCGAAATTCGAGCGGGAATTCGGCTGCCCCAGCGCCCATTCAATGTTCATGATTTAGTCCCGTGCTTTTTATGTATATTTAGCCTTTTTCTTCTATTTTTATTGCCCTGATCTCGCTTTAAACCAGACATGGCAATCGGCCGGGCCGCGCGGCTTTTTCGGCCGCAAAAATTAGAATGCGGCCGGGCCGCGCGGCTTGGCCGCACTTCCGGCGCGGCCGCGGCTTTTTTCCGTTTTGAGGCCGCACGGCGGCCAAGCCGGCGCGGCTTTTGAGGCCGCATCCAAATGAGTTTTGAGTACTTCCGGCACGTAAATCACAGATGCAATGCGTATTTAGCCTGGTAGCGAGGAATATCCATACTCGACAACCTTAATTTTCTCATTTCCATTCCCATTTGGCAAGAAATTCGCGGTTTTTCGACATGTAAATGAGCTACTTCCGGTTTGCGGCTTGGCCGCAGCGGCCCGGCCGAGCCGCGATGAAAATGCGGCGAAGCCGCATTTCCGGAAGTAACTAATTACAGCGGCTCGTAAGGGGCCGCGTTTTTTATGGAAATTAGGCCGCCGGCCCGGCCGCGCGGCTCGGCCGATCAGAATTGCCATGTCTGCTTTAAACCCTAGTTTTATAGGCATCATATGTCCTCTTTTTTTCTCAATTTTCCACCCGATTTGGTGGCTGGCTGTGAATACCCGAATATGTTGTCGTTCGTTCTACGTGTACATCTACGAGTCCTTCTCCTCCTCCTTCTGCTTCTCCTGCTAAATCTCAATAATATGCATAATAAAATGGTTTTTTCAACGAGGAAAACATCGCAACCATATTTTTGGGAGTTTTTGGTACTTGGTCGTTAGCGGGGGGGTCTTAGCGGGGAAACCTATTTTTATCTTTCGCATATTACCTGTTTCCTGTTATGTTGTAATCGTGCTTGATACCTTTTTTAGCAGTTTTCCAATCTTAAAAAATTCTGAACAACTTTATTAATTTTTTGAAAATTCACAATTTGCTCTAAAAAAAAATAAAACGAAAAAGCGGCTTTTTGAGAGCTGACGAGCGCTGTCAAAATACTCTCGATCTGCGATTGCATGAGATTCCGTAAGAGAACTTCAGTGTTACACGCAAAAATAATGGCGATAATGCTAAGTAGTTTTTCGTATTTTAGATTTTGCACGTTTTCGCCAATTTTTCAGGATCATGAACATGTTTATTCGACTGCCAACACAGATAGATGGGAGATTCGGAAACCGGAATCGGCTAATCCGGAATCCCGATCCGGAAAATGAGCAAATCCGCGAGGGGGGGGAAAGAGAGAAAATATTGGGTGAAGAAGCTAGGGGACTACACGACGATACAAATGACAGTACGAGGAGATACGGGGAATGGCTACGCGGCCATACAATGGACAGTCGATCAGTGGGGATTGATCAGTGTTGAGGAGGAGGAGCATCAGCTGGTGAGGCTCACGGCGTGTTCATCCGCGGCAGCTGGGCGAACAGCTCGAGCACGTCGTACTGGAAGGAGAGGGAGTGGAGAGAGAGACAAAGCGAGAGCGAGACAGAGACACCCAAACAGACAGACAGACACATACCGCATATCTCTGTGACCATTCGAGGTTGAGGCGGTGCTGCTCGGCGAGTGCCTCCCAGAATGGCAGCGGGCGAAGGTCTTCGGGCAGTTCGGGGTGTTGGCGCATCATCGTCAGCTGAACGAGGGAGGGACAACTTCAAGCAGTTCAGCCCCCGCTCACCTTTGTCAGGGCGTCCGGACCGCCAAGCTGGCCGAGAATCCCGGTCACCAGGTTTTTCCGCTCGTCCGGTGCGTAGCTCAGCCTAGAAAACGGGGATTTTAAAGGGACAGTGACACGTCTCAGCACTCTCTCTCTCTGTCTCTCTCACCCTCACTCTCTCGCCTACCTCTGATGGATAGATCCAATATTGTGGTATAGATATTTGAATGCCTCGTCTCTCCATCCGACAGCTGATGCCAGCCACTGTGTATTCTGTAGGCGTGCCATCCCGGTGTTGTTGATCAGGTTGTCGAGCATGCTGAAGGAGGGATAATTCCATAGTTTTCTCGTGGTAAGGTGAATAGGATGGTGCTTTTGCACTATCGGGGGGGGCGCGATTTTTTTCCTTGAAGTTGGAATTTGGAAGATCAGAAAAAGTTGCCCCCCCCCCGTTAATGCAAAAAAGCCAAAAGCACTTACCGCTCGGCCCATTTCCAGTTGGGGGCGTAGAGGAGGGCACGATTTAGGTAGTATTGCTCGTCGGGGTCGGCTGGAACGATAAACGATACGCATTGTGGTTCTGGTTCGTTAGCAGGGGGGGAGAAAGGAGCCCGAACGCCTTCAACTTCTCGCGAAGGTCTCGAAACCCACTCTCAATCTGCAACTTCTTCCAGATGAATTCCGCGATGCGTTCGGCGCGTTTTCCCGTGGCACTCCGGATGGCATTGGGATATCCGTCATTCCGGGCAGCCCAGTCGTACCTACAAGGGAATAGGCTCACCCCTCTTCCCGTACCTGCTGCACTTGCTGGTCATCTGCTCCTTCCGGGGGCAAGCCGTCATCACATCCCTCTCAAAACGACGCCATTCCGGGTCGTTAGCAGCGCGCGTCTCACGCCCAAGGAGCCGCATCTGCTGCTGCTCCCTCAGCCTAAATTGAATGTTTCTGGTCTGTTAGCGGGGGGCGAGGTGGGGAAAATTCTTCGGAACCAATCTTTACAGAAACTTTACAAATTTTTGATCACAAAAATACAAAAAAAAAATATCGATTTTTCGACCAAAATTAAACTTTTTGAAACATTTTTTGAAAGTTTCTTGATAGTTTTTCTAGTTAAAATGTTGCTTTTTTTACCAAAAATTATGAAAATACTTCCAGGCATTTCTACATTAATACCAAACAATGCCCCCCCCCGATAACACAAAAGAACCGTAGGTTTTTCTACTGTAAACAGAGTTAAAGCCACCCAAGAAAATCAAAAGGCAAAAAATTAGCCATAAAAAAGCGTACTCCTCGTTGAAGGCGTTGATCTTCTCCATCTCGGTGAGGTACAACTCGGCGGTGGCTGTCGAAGCCGTCTTTAACAGTCTGCCGCCAGGGTTTTTGGCCTCCCCGTCGGCTTTGGCCTTGGCGATCAACGAGTTGTAGTAATCGCTCGCATTCTGAGAATGGACGCAACTTTCCAAATGACATGCCGTTGAATAGACCTTTAGGATAGTGGCAGTTCGGTTGCTGGTGGAATATTCGAGGATTCGGGCCTTGATCCATTTGTAGCCAGAGATCAGACTCGAACGAGCACCAACAAATAGCTCTTGATCGAGGCGGTTGAGGAAGGAGACGACGGTCGTGTAGGGGATGACACCATCACGGGGAAGGGTGAACAGGTCTTCGTAGATGAACGAACGGGTCAGACCGGTTAGACCCTGGAAAAGGAGGAGAGATGGAGAGAGAGATAGAGACAGAGAGAGAGAGAGAGCGCGAGAGTGGGAAACAGAGTGAGAGAGAGAGAAAGTTAGAGGCCAGAAATCTCAACCTACAGCTGTCTGAATCGTTTTCAGCACTTCAGGCCACAGCTCTCCGTAGTTGACCCTGGCGAACACGAGCTGGTTGTGGTTGATGAACGGCAGCTCGGACGACTCGATGATGAGGGGGCCTGTAAGGGGGAAGAGAGAGTGGGGAGAGAGAGAGAGGCAGATAGACAGAGAGCAGCTACAACTCGGCCAAAACCGTACTTCCATCGCCGGGGATGAACGCCATGATGTCGTCGGGTTGTTCGCGGTATTCGATAGGGATTCGCCAGATACTGTAATGGGTGTTGGACGTTGCTATGATGCTCCATACTCATTTTGTGCATCGCCCAGCTTGGTATCGTCGGAGAGGTAGTGGCGTTGGGTGGTGATGGCGTACTTGTTGGAGGTGCCGGGGACACGGGCAACGGTGATACGGGGATGGCCACGCTGAAAGGAGAGAGAGCCAGAGTGAGGGACAGAAAGCGAGAGAGAGAGAGAGAGAGAGAGAGAGAGAGCGAGAGCGAGAGAGTCAAAAAGAGAGAAACAGAATTTTCCCACCAACCTTGTAGTTATGATCGCGGCTTGCATCCCTTGCCAATTGCCACAACTGGTCCTTGATCGGATCCTCATCCCAGATATCAGCCGTGATACTCAAGCCATAGGCATGCTTTTCGAGGTATCCCTGTAATATCCGTCGATTAAAGAGGCCAGGACAGAGGTGACCTTGATCATGTTGCTGAAGCGCTTCTCGCCCAGGGTGGTGAACATGGTGTAGACACCGTAGGCTGCTTTTGGGTAGACAAGGTAGCTGAACATGTCGAGGATGTCGTAGTAGGTGGAGGGGACCTTCTGAAAAGATGGCGTTTTTGTGAGAGAGAGAGAGAGAGAGAGAGAGAGAGAGAGAGAGAGAGAGGAGAGAGAGAGCAAGAGAGAGAAAGAGAGAGCAAGGGAGAGAAAGAGAGAGTAAGAGAGAGAGAGAGAGAGACAGAGAGAGAGAGAACGATTCGCCTCACGTTGTAGTCCCTATCCCCGGGTGCCGCCTTCCCAACGACAATCGGCTTCAGCGGTGCCGCGTAGTCCCCTTCACCCCAGACTTTACGGAATTTCTGGATGCCCGGTGTGTCCTGTAGTGAATTGATGGATATCGTATGGTATAGAGGGTGTGTCGTACCGGATGTCCCCATTCGCCAATGTCCCTTCCAAACTGACGAGCGACATAGAGCTCGGAGAATGTGGCGAATCCCTCGTTCAGCCACAGATCACCCCACCATTCCGGGGTCACCAAGTCGCCGAACCACTGCAAAAAGAATGAACATGCCGGGTTAGGCTTGGGCTTGGCTTAGCGTGACTTAGACCTCAGTCTCGCTTTAGTTTAAACTTGACTTAGGCATTGGCTTAGGATCTCCGTACTGGACTTTTAGCAGGGGAGGGGGGTTTAGGAGGAGGGAAACCTACCTGTTGATAATAAATACTGTACTTTTACAATGTTTTTCGTACTTTTTGTTCGCTAAAAAGTTACAAAAAATGTTCTAGGCATTTTTTAAAATCCGGAATTTTTGGGCTTTTTGGCCGTCTTTACACACATTTTTGAACAAAAAATCGTCATTGGCAAAAAGTTTGACCCCCCGCTAACAGTCAAATGCCCACGATCTCTCCCCCTCCCTACCTGATGTCCAATCTCGTGTGCCACCGTATCCTGAACCGCGATCCGTCGACTTTCCCCATTTCGGGATGGATCGTAGAGTGAGGCCTAGAATGGAAGGAGGCACTATAGGCTACAAATTTCCTGTGATATACCGATTCTCGGAACGTCATGATGCCCCAGTTTTCCATGGCGCCGGCGGCAACGTCGGGGATGGCAAAGATGTCTGCAACGGGTTGAAGAGGTACAGTGCCCCGCCACCCCTTATACCGAGCTTCTTGAGGGGGTAGTCGACCCCGGTGAGGTTCTCCAGCGCCGGCACAGCCACCATGGCGGCGTCGAGAGCCGTCTGCGTGTGGGGCATCATCTCCTTCCTCGCATAGACACCAATCTGAAAGGGGTAGACGCGTTGCGGGCGCGTCGCCGTGTCATACCTTGACGCCCTTGTTGGTGACGGCGAAACGGGACCCGAAATCGTGGATGATGAGGGCAATAATGTACGTGGAGAGGCGGGGCGTCGTTTCAAAGTTCGTACGCTGCCACTTCAGCCCATTGTGTTCCTCGCTGCAACAAATTACGGTGGGGGGGAGGGTACTGGACTGTTAGCGAGGGGGATTTCAATATTTTTCCATATTTCCGAAATTTCCAGATTTTTCCTGTGATTCACTTCGTCCCGATAGCAATATATAAACCATTTTTATGGCATTGTAAATTGTTTTTGGGCATGAAAACAAGATAAAAATCTTTAAAATTTACGAAATTTTTGATTTTTGGGTCGAAAATGTATGAAAAATGACGGAAAAGTCTAAATTTTCGAATTTCGAGACTTTTTAAAATTGATTGTGTAATTTTCTAACAATCAAAAACCACTAAAACATCATAAAAATATATTATATATCATTCCCCCCCCCCCCGCTAACAGTCAAGGAGCGACGTACCCAGTTGGTGTCCCATCGATCCTCGCATTCGAAGTGGCCGTGGTGCCGATTGGATGTCGGATGGAGAAGGTCCAGGTAGCCTAGAAAGGCGAGAGAGAGAGAGAGAAAGAGTGAGAGAGTGGGAGGGAGAGAGAGAGAGCGAGAGAGAGAAATAGAAGAGCAATATAAAGAGACAGAGAGAGACAGACAGGTAGAGAGATACAGACAGGGAGAGAGGGAGAGAGAAGAGAGAGAGAGGGAAGGAGAGACAGAGAAAGAGAGAGATACCTTAAATCGTGGCTCATCAAAGCAGGGCACCATCTCCCTGGCGTTGGTCGATTCGAATTGTGTGGTGGCAATCCATTTCTTCTTTCCCTCCTCATCGTGATATACAGATCGATACAGGCCATGCATCGATCGACTCAACATTCCACTGTACACTATCTGAAGTGGCAGAAAGGGGTGTAGTTCGTCGTGATATTGATACAGTACCTGCAGCACATAGACGCCCGTATCGATGTCGAAGCCGTCGGAGAGGGCAACCCTGCTCAGAGTGTCGTTGGCACGGATGGTGAGGCGACGGTGCTGAAGGGGAATAATGGAAAGCGAGAGATACAGCGAGAGAGAGGGAGGGGCGAGAGAGAGCCAGAGCGAGAGAGTGAAAGAGAGGGATCGATAGAGAGAAAACGCAATAAACCCGCACCTTGGTGTCCGTTTTGCCATGGATGAGGGTAGCGGCGATGAGGTCGAGCCCTGCGCTGTGCAGCTCAATGTGTTTCTGGGGTTTGTCGACGGTCAGCTGAACGGCTTGATGACGCCGGGCAGCAGCATGACTAGCCTACCGTAATCTTGACGACACCAAAGAAGCTGAACTCGCGACCGGCCGGGATCGGCGTGCCGTGGGTGGGCAGGTAGACCTGGAGGGTTGAAACGTGTCCATTCGGTTCTGGGCTGTTAGCGGGGGGGTTAGCGGGGGTAAAAACGACAGCTCCGAACGCTCCGAAAACAATATAAAAATACCTTACCTAAGGCTAAATTTTGCCTGATGGTGTAGTTAGATAGCTACACCCCCCCCGCTAATAGTTCAGTCCGTCCATATCCCCACATGCAAATCCAAATGGTAGTGGCTGGGGTGGTAGTCTTCGGTGGGGATCTGCCATGTGTGTTGTCTAAACGGTGGGTGAGGGGTACGGTAGTCAGGGGCATACGGGTGGATAGACGAGCCGAGATCGTTTCCGCCAATGTTGATCGACCCTTCGCCAAATTCTTTCGCCACCCTGTCTTGCCTGGATTTCGTATCCGCCGTCAGCCTGGAAGGTAATGTACACTACAGTACGGTACACTAGAGCACGCAACAGTACGCCACAGTACGCCACAGAACTTTGAAGTACACGCCACTACGGTGCAACACGCTACAGTACGCTACGATATAGTACGTTACGGTACTTATACTACGACACGATATAAGCTTAAGATGGGATTCAAAACAGTACGATAAAGTTCTTAACATTGCGTTCGTACGCTGTGGTACATTGATACACAGTACCATTTAGTACGAGACTGTACGTTACGATACGGCCTACGCACTTGTACTTCGAGTAGAACAAGTCCGGCTCGACGGCCAACAGGAAGAACGTAGCGATCAGCACTGAACGGGAGTTGGACAGAGGGAGAGAGAGAGATAGAGAGAGAGTGAGAGAGAGCGCGAGAGCGCGAGAGAGATATGGAGAACGAAAACGTACACAAAGTGAGGATGCAGCACGCGACGCCGAAGACGACCATCGAACAGACGGGCGTCCTCTCGTGCTTCACCACCGGCATCCGGCTGGGGCGACGGGCCCGTGACCTCGACTTCGAAGAACGGCGCGATTTGGAAGACTTTGAGCGACGCGTCTAGAAGATGATCATCATCTACTAACAACCAAAAACCGAAGCCGATCGCGACGCTGAACGGCGGGTCGAACGGCTCGAACGGGACGTGCGTGAAGAGCGAGACGAGCGGCGCGCCGACTTGGAGACGGGCTATAAAAGAAAGTGTGTAAAGACGATTCCCCAAATTGTCTCTGCTAGCTGGTCGCCATACCGGACTGTCATCCCCGGCTGTCGTCGTGGTGGTGGTCGTCTTGTCGCTGCTGGTGAAGAAGCCGGCCGGCTTCTTCAGTTTCGGCCATTTTGCCGGCTGAAAGAAAACAGTTTTTATTTTTATTTTTCCGCCTATCCCTTAGCTGTTAATAATAAATACCGTATTTTGCACTGTTTTTAGCTGTTTTTGACACCCAAAAGCTTACAAAAATTTCTAAACCTTGGAAAATCGAACATTTTGACCTTTTTTGTCATTTTTCATACATTGAACAAAAAGTCAAAAATCTGAAATTTTTTATTATTTTTTCATGATCTTTCCAGCTCTAAAAACCGCGCAAAATACGATAAAAATGGTTTGTGTTTGTTAAACCGAAAACCATTCTAAATTAGCATAGATGAGCGGATACCATGAGAAGCTGGAGCGGGGGTTGAAACCGGCTTACGAGAAGCTGACAAGCCAAATGGTTTTATCAGCACTAGTGACATGTTAGCAAGAAACTGGATGCAAATTGTAGAATCCCTGTCATCATTCCTAAAAGTCATCATTCCTAAAAGTCATTTTTCCTAAAAGTCATTTTTCCTAAAAGTCATCTTTCCTAAAAGTCATTTTTCCTAAAACTAGGTAATCGTAAATTTTTATTTTTCCTCAATCACTTTTTTTCTAAAAACCATTTTTTTCGAAGATTAATTTTTCCTGAAGTGAGGTATGCGAATAGGGATGCCACCTCCGCCTAACTTGAGAGCTGCTTGCTGTGTAGAAACGACAAAATGCCTTGAACGCCGTCAGTCCTCATAAAAGCTCTTAGTCGCATCGGAGCCTATCCTATTTTTTGATTTCTGAATAGTTTTATGAATCCAAAGATAGCATAACTTAAATCAAGACATCCCGAAAAGGTCTAGTACGGCATGGAGACATTAAAATTTTACGGCCCGGGCCTCTCCAAAAAAATTTTTCTTGCAAAAAAACCAACTGAGAAATATTGATTTTTAGGAAAAATGACTTTTAGGAAAAATGACTTTTAGGAAAAATGAGTTTTAGGAAAGATGACTTTTAGGAAAGATGACTTTTAGGAAAGATGACTTTAGGAAAGATGACTTTAGGAAAGATGACTTTAGGAAAGATGACTTTAGGAAAGATGACTTTAGGAAAGATGACTTTAGGAAAGATGACTTTTAGGAAAGATGACTTTTAGGAAAGATGACTTTAGGAAAGATGACTTTAGGAAAGATGACTTTAGGAACGATGACTTTAGGAAAGATGACTTTAGGAAAGATGACTTTAGGAAAGATGACTTTAGGAAAGATGACTTTTAGGAAAGATGACTTTAGGAAAGATGACTTTAGGAAAGATGACTTTTAGGAAAGATGACTTTAGGAAAGATGACTTTAGGAAAGATGACTTTAGGAAAGATGACTTTAGGAAAGATGACTTTAGGAACGATGACTTTAGGAAAGATGACTTTAGGAAAGATGACTTTAGGAAAGATGACTTTAGGAACGATGACTTTAGGAAAGATGACTTTAGGAAAGATGACTTTAGGAAAGATGACTTTAGGAAAGATGACTTTTAGGAAAGATGACTTTAGGAAAGATGACTTTAGGAAAGATGACTTTAGGAAAGATGACTTTTAGGAAAGATGACTTTAGGAAAGATGACTTTAGGAAAGATGACTTTAGGAAAGATGACTTTAGGAAAGATGACTTTTAGGAAAGATGACTTTAGGAAAGATGACTTTTAGGAAAGATGACTTTAGGAAAGATGACTTTAGGAAAGATGACTTTAGGAAAGATGACTTTAGGAAAGATGACTTTAGGAAAGATGACTTTAGGAAAGATGACTTTAGGAAAGATGACTTTAGGAAAGATGACTTTTAGGAAAGATGACTTTAGGAAAGATGACTTTAGGAAAGATGACTTTAGGAAAGATGACTTTAGGAAAGATGACTTTAGGAAAGATGACTTTAGGAAAGATGACTTTAGGAAAGATGACTTTAGGAAAGATGACTTTAGGAAAGATGACTTTAGGAAAGATGACTTTTAGGAAAGATGACTTTTAGGAAAGATGACTTTAGGAAAGATGACTTTAGGAAAGATGACTTTAGGAAAGATGACTTTAGGAAAGATGACTTTAGGAAAGATGACTTTTAGGAAAGATGACTTTAGGAAAGATGACTTTAGGAAAGATGACTTTAGGAAAGATGACTTTAGGAAAGATGACTTTAGGAAAGATGACTTTAGGAAAGATGACTTTTAGGAAAGATGACTTTAGGAAAGATGACTTTAGGAACGATGACTTTAGGAAAGATGACTTTAGGAAAGATGACTTTTAGGAAAGATGACTTTTAGGAAAGATGACTTTAGGAAAGATGACTTTAGGAAAGATGACTTTAGGAAAGATGACTTTTAGGAAAGATGACTTTAGGAAAGATGACTTTAGGAAAGATGACTTTAGGAAAGATGACTTTAGGAAAGATGACTTTAGGAAAGATGACTTTAGGAAAGATGACTTTAGGAAAGATGACTTTAGGAAAGATGACTTTAGGAAAGATGACTTTAGGAAAGATGACTTTAGGAAAGATGACTTTAGGAAAGATGACTTTTAGGAAAGATGACTTTAGGAAAGATGACTTTAGGAAAGATGACTTTAGGAAAGATGACTTTAGGAAAGATGACTTTAGGAACGATGACTTTAGGAAAGATGACTTTAGGAAAGATGACTTTTAGGAAAGATGACTTTTAGGAAAGATGACTAAAACCCCAAATTGTAAAATGGCTCCTTCTGTATTTTTTCTCTTGATCTCTAACCGTAATTTTTGTCTCGCATCACTCTCTCTCTCGCTCGCGCTCCCCTCTCTATACCTTTCTTCCAAAAGCTCCATTTTTTCCAATATAAAAAGTGCAAGTGTTTCGAAGCTGTTTCTATTCATAAACTTATCAATGTAAAAATTTTGCCCTAAAACTATCGCTTTTTCTTCCAAAAATGGCCGATTTTCCATTAAAATCGCACTAGAAAAATCTGTCTAGGTATTTTTTATCATTGTTCAACTTGAAATATAGTTAAACTTTACTAAAAACGCTATTAGAAATATTTATTCTTACGTTTCGCGGCATTTCTGGAATTGAAGGCGAAAAGTTGGGGTCTCCCGATAACCCCCCCGCGCGATACTGCAACAAAACCTAATACTCTCATAGATGCACAAAACCTAATCATTTATATTTACCTCTTTTTTATTTTTTCCTAGTTCTTGTCAAAAGTGAGAAATTTGGGGTGTAATGAGAACGAGTACGAGAGCGTACTCCCGGCAACAGCGCCGTGTGCTCGCTTGACAACCGAATTTTCCCCGGCCCCGAAAATTCTTTCTTTTTGCAAGAAAGGGCAAAAGTAAATTTTTTGTTGGATGCTTCTGTTTTATTTCCTTTTTTTGCTTTGGAAAAAATATGCACGCATTTTTAGGGATGACGGAGAGGTTTTCCTTCAAGGCCGAAGATGTGGGCGATGTGAAGCAGGAGGCAATGTCGTGGGCAGATCGAAAGCTCATCAAAAATGAGGACGGCAAGCCAAGCTTCCCCAAGAAATTCGCCAGGAGAGGACCAAATTCCAGAGAAAGGTTCGAATTATCGCTTGTGGCGTCCCAAAAAGGGGTTCTTAGGCGTCTTCACGCTGAAAAAAAAATGCCAGTTTTTCGCAAATATCGAGAAAAATGCTTGATAATTTAAGAAAACGAAACCATCTTGTTTTCTGGTCTTTTCTAGTGCTTGAGAATGGTGTAGAAAACCTACGAACACAAGCTTTTTGGGACGCTTTCTAGGGTTCTGCCTGAAAAATAGGCAACTTAAGGTTTCTAGGGTGTTTTTATCGCGAATAATGTTTATCGTAATGTTTCGTCTAATTTAACGTTTTTTTACGTTAGCACGATTACAATCGGGGTTAGCGGGCGTAGCCCGCTAACCCCTTTTGGTTTGAGGTACCCCCCCATACGACTCTTTTGGGGTCCTTTTCCGGATTTAAAAAAGAACCACGCATCGGATCGCAAAACTGAATGCACCATCGGAACCGGCGACACTTTTTACATACTATAAGCTTTTAAAAATTGAAAAAGAGTGAAATTTCGAATTTTAACAGCCGATTTAAATTGCGTTTCGAGGGGGGGGGGGGTCTGCGTTTGTTTGTATGTATGCACGCAAACCCTATGTAGTCGTCAAAAAGTGCCTTCCCACCATCCGTTTGGGCTGAAATTTTTTACAGTTATTGGGTGAATGATAATCTCGGACCGCAAGAAGAGTTTTTTTCAAAATAGGCTTTAAAAAAATTTATATTTAATTTTTAAGTTTAAAAGCTAAATCGCGGTCAAAACAATGGTTAGTGATGTCCGTTTGGGCTGAAATTTTGCTCAAATATGCATTAGACCATGCCGGAATAAGTAACAAAGAAATTGCAACGAAAGAATGCTTCTTCTCTGAGATATTATAACTTTAAACCTTCGCCATACGGGGCGCCACCCTCCCCCTTGGCGGCCCCAGTCCCGAGTCAGGGCGGGCGGGTCTAGCTTCCCCAAGACAGCCCTCCAGTCTCCCGGTTGGCCTAGTGGTTAGCACGCTGTACTGGGAAGACTTGGCTCCCGAGTTCGAATCCCACCCGAAGCATGGTGTTTGCCGATTGGCCCCCGTGCATTCTTATGGTTCTAGTGCCGTCACAAAGCGCCGCAGGCAAATTTTTTTGAAGTTTTGCGTACAAGGGTTCATCTGAATAAGTATTCCTTGGCTTATTTTACGATCTTAACAATAAGATTGAGGCAAAAAGGGCTAAATTCTTTCTAAGGCTAAAAAGAGTCTTTTTAAAAAAGGGCTTTTGGTTTTCGCAAAAAGAGACGAATTCTCGTGGCAACAAAAAGAGCTAAATTCCTTTCAAACTCTTAAAAATGCCACAGAATGTGGGATCAACCAAAAGTTGCTGGCACTATTAAAACGGACCGATCTAGTTTCTAGCGGTTTCGGCTTGCAAATCATTTCTGTATTATGATCTATTTGCACTTTCTTGAAATTAATCTGTGCACAACCTAACCTGTGATCTGGGATGGAACCGAGTTTATTAAGATTTTAAATAGCCAGCAACTTTTTGTTGTTCCCGCATTCTGTGGCATTTTTAAGAGTTTGAAAGGAATTTAGCTCTTTTTGTTGCCACGAGAATTCGTCTCTTTTTTGCGAAAACCAAAAGCCCTTTTTTAAAAAGACTCTTTTTAGCCTTAGAAAGATTAGCGTTACTTTTGACTACCCAGATTGAGCAAATGTTTCCAGCGCACCGGATCCATTCCCGGAAACCCTTCCAATCGGCGATGCTTCTCTGGCGAGACACGACGCGGGCGCCTCGAACTTTGACCCGACCCAGATGCGAAGCAACCTCACCAAGAAACGCGCCGAGATTACAAAGATGAATTTTGAGGGTAATTGAATGAACGGCGATTTTTTTATGTCTAATCACCCGTTCAGCCCGCCTCACCCAGACGGCACGCGCCGAGATCCTGAACAAAGAAGAGGGCGGATTCTTGGAGACCGACGACGATGCGTTCACGCGAAACATTTCACAACGGCAGATTGTCGACTCGGTCGATATGGCCAGTGCCAGCAAGGTGCGAGCTGTTGTCGCCGTTCTGGGCTGTTAGCGGGGGGGCTATAGCTCCGCTGCGCGTCAATAATCAAACCTAGCACATTTCTGGCGCTTTTCGCGCCGTTTTGCAAGTCTATAAACTCGGAAAATTGCTTAAAATTTACGAAAAAGGTTGAGTTTTGTCGAAAATTAGCCCATTTTTGGCCTGTTATCTTGTATTGCCCAACGCGGTTCCCAAGTTTTTTTGCGGTTTTTACGCCGTTTTTTAGGCATAGAACAACAAAAGAATTATGAAAATTTTGTGAAAATTTGGTGATTTTTGGTCAAAAATGGTTTCGTTTCCGGCCTGTCGTCTCGTGGTGTCCCAACAATTTGGCGTACCTAATATTTTATAGCTTTTCCCCCTTTTTAAGTATAAAAGCCAATAAAAACGCATTAATTGTTGGAGAATTCTGGATTTTTGGCTAAAAATTTGAACATTTTTGGAGTTTCTAAGGTTTTTTATCACTTTAGTAGGCAAAGACTACTAATAACGCTATAAAAATAGCCTATTGAATAATTTCTGCGTAGGTATAGGTTGGATACTCCCCCCCGCTAACAGCTCAGAACATCATTTTTTCGAATTCAACTTGACGGCCACGCTTTCAGCATTTCGACCTGCATCTCGAGCAGTTTGGCCCGTACAAGATTGACTACACGGACAATGGACGGCATTTGGTATGTCTTGGCTTGAAATGACGACTTCTGTTTTTTTAGTTGATCGGTGGGAAGCGGGGCCATATTGCGGCCTTTGATTGGCACACCAAACATCTACACACCGAGAATAATGTCATGGAGGCTGTACGGGATGTCAAGTGAGCTATTTTGATCGAAAAAAAAAGAATTTTTATCGTTTTTAGGCTATTTTAGGCCTTGTTTTCTCGAAAATCAAGAAGATAATTTGTTTCTACATGGATTGCAAAACCTAAAAACTGCGAATTTTGGCTCAAAAACACTAAAATCGACATTTTTTTATGAAATAATTCTACAAAAAAATTAAACATTTTCGTAAACGTTTTCGTGACCGTAAACATTTTCTAAAAAAAACGGCTTCCAGATTCCTGCACACGCACAACATGATGGCCGTCTCGCAGAAGAACTACACGTACATCTACGACAACGTGGGCACCGAGCTGCACTGCCTCAAGAATTTCCACCAAGTGCTGCAGCTCGAATTCCTGTCCAAGCATTTCTTGCTCGTCGGAGGGGTACGTGTTGTAGTTGATGTTCATCTGCAACTATCCGTCTAGGGCCGTAATTCGTTCCTTCGATATCTCGATGTGTCCGTCGGCCAGCTCGTCACCGAATTCCCCACGCGTCAAGGTGATTTGTTGTTTTTATTTTCGATCAGGTCCTTTTCCATTATCGGGGGTGGACCAAATTTTCCCTTAAGCCTTTTTTGGTATTCTAAACGTATATTTCAAATTTTCACTATTAAATACAAAAAAAAATCGATTTTTTGACCAAAATGGCCATGCTTGGACCAAAATTTCGATTTGAATTTTTCTAAGTTTTTTAAAATTGATTTTCCCCTTGAACCGTAACATAAAATCCCTGACATATCGAAAAATCAATTTCGGCATTCTAGTCATCGACAAAATGAAAAAAGCCTGAGTATTGGGATTTTATGTCGTTTCAGGCCCACTCGACGTGATGTGCCAAAATCCGACGAATGCCATCATCCACACCGGCCACAGTGATGGTACGCATTTTTCCTCGTTTCCGCCGCTCTTTATAAATGTGTTTTTTTATTTGAAACTTTACAAAACTCGGCAATTTTTGATGAAAACTCGAAAATTATTGATTTTGTGCTGAATTTAAAATTTTCAAGCATTTTCTGAATTTTTAAAAGATTTTGCATTTTAAATGTAGATCAAGTGTATTAAAGTGATATTTAAATATCTGAGATCACAATAATTAGGACTTTTTGGAAATACTCAAGAATCGCACAAAAAATATTTTAGGTACGGTCTCGCTGTGGTCTCCAAATTCGAAGGAGCCACTGGTGCGTATGCTGACTCATAATGGTATTGTCAGAGGGCTGGCCGTCGATAATACCGGTCATTATATGGTGTCCACTGGCGGAGAGGGAAAGTGCAAGTAAGTCCACATTTTTTTGCGGAATTTTAAAGGGGAATCCGGTCCTTTTGATTATTGGGAGCTTCGCGCTTAGCGGGGGGGGGGGGGTAGCGAATTAACAAAATATATTACTTTGTCTCGCCTAAACCGCCCACTGACAAACCCTATTAAAATCCTTTTTTAATAGGTTTAATAACTCAAAAAATAATCCCCACTTTTGTCGAAAAGTAAAATAGTCCGGTTTTTGTTTGAAAAATAAATTAAATTTAACGATTCAAAAAACATAAAAAATTTTGCAACTTGAAAATTAAAAGTTGCTGGCTTGTTTCTGACGGGAAATTCAAAATTTTTCAACTTTTCTGTTATAGTTTTATACTTAAAAAACCCATTTCCACTCCGATAAAAATAGTTTATATTAATTTATTAAAACAGCAGGATATCATGGGTTAGGGTTCGCACCGCCCCCCCCCCCCCATGTTAAAAAAGGAAAACACCGATAATCGACTGTTTTTTCCTAGAATCTGGGATCTTCGCATGTACAAGCAGATTGCTGCCTACCGTATGCCATCGCTGATAGGCCGTGTCGCCATCTCGGATACAAGAACGGTGGCCTGTGCTGTGGGGAATACTGTTCAGGTTGTGTTTCGTAGTCTGTATCCTATTATGATCCCTTTTTAGACGTTCAAAGACATGCATCTCGGCCTCACCCGTGAGCCCTATCTCGTGCACAGGTCCGTATAACCTGAATGTGTCTTAATTTTTTGTATTTTGCAGATGTGCGGGCGTGGTTTCGGACCTTCGATTCGTTCCCTTTGAAGACGTGCTCGGCGTCGGGCATTCCGCTGGATTCACATCGCTCTTGATTCCGGGTCCGTCTGCATATTTTTTTCGTTGAGGGGCAAGCTGCAGAGAATTTTTGCGGAATTATGAAGGGCAGGCTAGTGCGGATTCTTTGAGGAATTGTCCACGGCCCAGCTAGCACATTTTCTTTGTAGAATGAGAGGGGGAAGGTTGCAGAGATTCTTTGCGGAATGAGAACGGGTAGGCTAGCATATATTCTTTGAGGAATTCTCCACGGGCGGACTAGCACAGATTCTTTGCCGAATAACGCGACAGGCTAGCACAGATCCTTTGCGGAAATACCCAGGGGCAGACTAGCACAGGTTCTTTGAGGAGTCAGACAAGGCAGGCTAGCATAGATTCTCGGAGAACTGAGTGAGCGGCAGCCTAGCACAGATTGTTTTAAGAATGAGAGCAGGGGGATTTGCATAGATTCTTTGAGGAAGGAGACAGGGCAGGCTAGCATAGTTTCTTTATGGAATGAGAGAGGGGCAAGCTAGCACAGTTTCGCGGAATCACCCAGGAGCAGCTAGCACCGTTTCTTTGCCTTAATATATCCGTTTCTTCTGCAGGCAGTGGCCAAGCGAACGTCGACCTGATGCGTGCCAATCCCTACGAGACATCGAAACAGCGAAAGGAGCGTGAAGTGAAGCAGTTGCTCGAAAAGGTGCTTTTTTCTATTCAAATGCATCTTGTCTATTGTTTTGTTAGATTCCATGTGAAATGATCACCCTGGATCCGGATGATATTGCCCGTGTCGACACAGAGACGCTTGAAAGAAAGGAGGACGAGCGAAAGAAATCGGTATTTATTCATTACGGCAATTTATTTATTTGTTATATTTACAGCTGCTTCTCGGCAATCGTCCGCCAATCAAGTTTACACCAAGGCATCGAATGAAGGGACGAGGATCGGCCCTCAATAAGGTCTGCTTCAGCCTATAGCCCTCAGAAAGGCCCGATTTTTGGATCTTACGCATTATCGGGGGGGGGGCTTAGTTCTTAGGATCTAATTTATCCATTATAAATAGTGCAAGTGTTTCTAAATGGTTTTTTTTTACTATTCCTAAACGCGGAATTTTAAACATTTTCATGAGGCATTTTTTCTCCATTTTTTAAAAACTGCTGATCGTTGCCCTTTTCAGGAACGACGACGCGAAACGGTGACCCAGATGAAACGTCGCGGGCGCAATGATGAGATCAAGCAGATTGAGAACGAGGTATTTGTGGCCTTTATTTCTAACCCTTTCACACCCCTTTTTCAGTATTTGACAGACGAGCCACGGGAAAAGCCGAAAAAAGCGAAGCAAGATGACGCGACCCCCTCACAGCATGTCCTCGATCGATTCCGCGTCAAATCATAGCCAAATCGATTGTCTTTTCTTGTTTGTTCTCATTCTGTTGTTCGAGTTTATTGTTGATTTTTGAGTTGTTACAAGATGCTGTTGAATAAAGGGTTTTGTCCATTTGTCGATTTTATTTTGATTGTTGATCGGTCGATTCCACTTTGTTTTTGTTGTTCGTGGTCGTCGCACGCGTTTAGGCCCGGCGCCATTGGCCTGAAACTGAACGATTAGGTTTAAACTAAAGTGCTTATAATATTTTTCATTCTTTTGATTATAATTATAAATATAGAATTATGTATATAAAATGTATAATTTTATATTTATACTTTCGCGCCAGAAACGGATTCAGAAAAAATGTGTTGGTGATGGCCATATGCGCAATGAAGTGCTCTTCTATTCGACCGGTGGCACGGAATCTTGATAAAATCTTGATCTTTCCTCTAAAAATTTTTATTTTGATTTATAAAAAAATGAAACAAAGTGTGGCGCAAAGTTTTTCCAAAATAGTTCCGATTTATTTCTTTGCATGTTGCGGCATCTAAATCCTACTATGTATAAAAAAATAGTTCCTGTGTGTGTGTGTATGTATGTATGTGTGCATTTGCATGCAACTTCCGTCACCGTGTTCCAGTAGTATCGGATTAGGGGAAGAACTTAAAAGCATGTATGATACGTCATTAGATGCGCAATGGTCTAGGGATGACTGCACACATATCAGATTTTGTAAAATATGTTGTTTTCGACATTAAAATTAAGTTTTTCGTAAAAATTCGGCCACCCACTTTGTTAGGATAAAATCAGCATACGCCGGAAGTTGCAGTAGCCTATATAAAGGCCCAAAGGGAGCGTTTTTCGTTTTTTGTCATCGGAATTGAGGCACAATTATGCAAAATGAAGAACATCAATGGTTAGACGGGGCCAGGGTTGAAAAGACGCGAAGCGGCTTTTCATCCCTGGTTGTAGCTAAAAATGATGATCTCGGTAGCGGTTCACCACTCTGGCAACTTTATGGCGCTTCTGAAAGATGTTAGGGTCCAAAATTGGCGACAGCGCGGAGAAAAACGCAAAAATAATCAAAATCCCAGGCGCTAAAAATGTGTGATTCTCATCATCAAGACTATTGAACTCAACAAATATATGAAAAAAGCAAACCGTGGAGGCCCACAAAATGATTAGTAAGAAATTTACCAGTTCGGTTACAAGGAATAGTATGAAAGCGAACGAATGACCATTAATGCGTGGCCACATCGTCATCACCTCTATGGAAAGGACTTAGGCTTAGGCTTAGGCTTAGGCTTAGGCTTAGGCTTAGGCTTAGGCTTAGGCTTAGGCTTAGGCTTAGGCTTAGGCTTAGGCTTAGGCTTAGGCTTAGGCTTAGGCTTAGGCTTAGGCTTAGGCTTAGGCTTAGGCTTAGGCTTAGGCTTAGGCTTAGGCTTAGGCCTAGGCTTAGGCTTAGGCTTAGGCTTAGGCTTAGGCTTAGGCTTAGGCTTAGGCTTAGGCTTAGGCTTAGGCTTAGGGCTTAGGCTTAGGCTTAGGCTTAGGCTTAGGCTTAGGCTTAGGCGCAGGCTTAGGCTTAGGCTTAGGCTTAGGCTTAGGCTTAGGCTTAGGCTTGGGCTTAGGCTTAGGCTTAGGCTTAGGCTAGGCTAGGCTTAGGCTTAGGCTTAGGCCAGGCTTAGGCTTAGGCTTAGGCTTAGGCTTAGGGCTTAGGCTTAGGCTTAGGCTTAGGCTTAGGCTTAGGCTTAGGCTTAGGCTTAGGCTTAGGCTTAGGCTTAGGCTTAGGCTTAGGCTTAGGCCAGGCTTAGGCTTAGGCTTAGGCCAGGCTTAGGCTTAGGCTTAGGCTTAGGCTTAGGCCAGGCTTAGGCTTAGGCTTAGGCTTAGGCTTAGGCTTGAGGCTAGGCTTAGGCTTAGGCTGCAGGCTTAGGCTTAGGCCTAGGCTTAGGCTTAGGCTTAGGCTTAGGCTTAGGCTTAGGCCTAGGCTTAGGCTTAGGCCAGGCTTGGGCTTAGGCCTAGGCCTAGGCTTTAGGCCTAGGCCCAGGCTTAGGCTTAGGCTTAGGCTTAGGCTTAGGCCTAGCTTAGGCTTAGGCTTAGGCCTTAGGCTTAGGCCTAGGCCAGGCCCAGGCCTAGGCCTGAGGCCCAGGCCTAGGCTAGGCTCAGGCCCAGGGCCTAGGCTTAGGCCTGTGCTTAGGCCTAGGCTCTAGGCCTAGGCCGGCCCAGGCTTAGGCTTAGGCTTGCCAGGCCTGGGCTAGGCCTAGGCCCAGGCCCCAGGCCTTAGGCCTTAGGCCTAGGCCTAGGCCCAGGCCCGGCCTTAGGCCTAGGCCTAGGCCCCGGCCCAGGCCTCAGGCCCGGGCCTAGGCCTCAGGCCTGGGGCCCAGGCCTCAGGCCAGGCCCAGGCCTTAGGCCCAGGCCTGTGCCCAGGCCTGGCTCAGGCCCAGGCCCAGGCTCAGGCGCTCAGGCCTTAGGCCCCAGGCCCGGCCCCGGCCTCAGGCCGGCCTCCGGGCCCCCGGCCCAGGCCCGGCCTCCAGGCCCAGGCCAGGCCCCAGGCCGTGCCCGGCCCCGGCCCGGCCCCAGGCCTCAGGCCCAGGCCCAGGCCTCAGGCCTCAGGCCCAGGCCCGGCCCAGGCCTGGCCCAGGCCCAGGCCCCAGGCCCAGGCCCAGGCCCCAGGCCTCAGGCCCCCCAGGCCCAGGCCCCAGGCCCCAGGCTCAGGCCTGGCCAGGCCCAGGCCTGGGCCCAGGCTCTGGGCCCAGGCCTGGGCCCAGGCCTTAGGCCTCAGGCCCAGGCCTAGGCCTCCAGGGCTTAGGCTTAGGCCCAGGCTCTAGGCCTAGGCTTGGCCTTAGGCCTAGGCCTCAGGCTTAGGCCTAGGCCTCAGGCTTAGGCTTCAGGCTTAGGCTTAGGCCTGTGCCCGGGCCTTAGGCCTCAGGCCTCAGGCTTAGGCCCAGGCCTAGGCCCTAGGCTTGGCCCAGGCTTAGGCCTAGGCCCAGGCTTAGGCTCAGGCTTAGGCCTAGGCTTAGGCCTAGGCCTAGGCTTAGGCCTAGGCTTAGGCTTAGGCCTAGGCTTAGGCCTAGGCCTAGGCTCAGGGCTAGGCCTAGGCTTAGGCCTAGGCTTCAGGCCTAGGCTCAGGCTCAGGCTTAGGCCCAGGCTTAGGCCAGGCCTAGGCTCAGGCTTAGGCCTAGGCTTAGGCTCAGGCTTAGGCTTAGGCCTAGGCTTAGGCTTAGGCTTAGGCTTAGGCTTAGGCTTAGGCTTAGGCTTAGGCTTAGGCTTAGGCTTAGGCTTAGGCTTAGGCTTAGGCTTAGGCTTAGGCTTAGGCTTAGGCTTAGGCTTAGGCTTAGGCTTAGGCTTAGGCTTAGGCTTAGGCTTAGGCCTAGGCTTAGGCTTAGGCCTAGGCTTAGGCTTAGGCTTAGGCTTAGGCTTAGGCTTAGGCCAGGCTTAGGCCAGGCTTAGGCCTAGGCTTAGGCTTAGGCCAGGCTTAGGCTTAGGCTTAGGCTTAGGCTTAGGCTTAGGCTTAGGCTTAGGCTTAGGCTTAGGCTTAGGCTTAGGCTTAGGCCTAGGCTTAGGCTTAGGCTTCAGGCTTAGGCTTAGGCCAGGCTTAGGCCAGGCTTAGGCTTAGGCTTAGGCTTAGGCTTAGGCCTAGGCTTAGGCTTAGGCTTAGGCTTAGGCTTAGGCTTAGGCTTAGGCTTACGGGCTTAGGCTTAGGCCTAGGCTTAGGCTTAGGCTTAGGCTTAGGCTTAGGCTTGCCAGGCTTAGGCCAGGCTTAGGCCTAGGCTTAGGCTTAGGCCCAGGCTTAGGCCTAGGCTTAGGCTTAGGCCCAGGCCTAGGCTTAGGCCTAGGCTTAGGCTTAGGCTTAGGCCTAGGCTTAGGCTTAGGCTTAGGCCTAGGCCCTAGGCCTAGGCTTAGCCTAGGCTTAGGCTTAGGCCTAGGCTTAGGCTTAGGCTTAGGCTTAGGCTTAGGCCTAGGCTTAGGCTTAGGCTTAGGCTTAGGCTTAGCTTAGGCTTAGGCCAGGCTTAGGCTTAGGCTTAGGCTTAGGCCAGGCTTAGGCTTAGGCTTAGGCCTCAGGCCCCAGGCCTAGGCCTTAGGCTTAGGCTTAGGCTTAGGCTTAGGCTAGGCTTAGGCCTAGGCTTAGGCTTAGGCTTAGGCTTAGGCCAGGCTTTAGGCCTAGGCTTAGGCTTAGGCCAGGCTTAGGCTTAGGCCTAGGCCTAGGCCTAGGCTTAGGCTAGGCCTAGGCTAGCCTAGGCCTAGGCTTAGGCCTCAGGCTTAGGCTTAGGCTTAGCTTAGGCCTAGGCTTAGCCTTAGGCCTAGGCCTAGGCCTAGGCTTAGGCTTAGCTTAGGCTGGCTTGTGCTTAGGCTTGTCCAGGCTTAGGCTTAGGCTTAGGCTTAGGCTTCAGGCCTAGGCTTAGGCTTAGGCCTAGGCTTAGGCCTAGCTTAGGCCTAGGCCTTAGGCTTAGGCTTAGGCTTAGGCTTAGGCTTAGGCTTAGGCTTAGGCTTAGGCTTAGGCTTAGGCTTAGGCTTAGCCTTAGGCTTAGGCTTAGGCTTAGGCTTAGGCTTAGGCCTTAGGCTTAGGCTTAGGCTTAGGCTTAGGCCTAGGCTTAGGCTTAGGCTTAGGCTTAGGCTTAGGCTTAGGCTTAGGCTAGGCTTAGGCTTGGGCTTAGGCTTAGGCTTAGGCTTAGGCTTAGGCTTAGGCTTAGGCTTAGGCTTAGGCTTAGGCTTAGGCTTAGGCTTAGGCTTATGCTTAGGCTTAGGCTTAGGCTTAGGCTTAGGCTTAGGCTTAGGCTTAGGCTTAGGCTTAGGCCTAGGCTTAGGCTTAGGCTTAGGCTTAGGCTTAGGCTTAGGCTTAGGCTTAGGCTTAGGCTTAGGCTTAGGCTTAGGCTTAGGCTTAGGCTTAGGCTTAGGCTTAGGCTTAGGCTTAGGCTTAGGCTTAGGCTTAGGCTTAGCTTAGTGCTTAGGCTTAGGCTTAGGCTTAGGCTTAGGCTTAGGCTTAGGCTTAGGCTTAGGCTTAGGCTTAGGCTTAGGCTTCTAGGCTT